GATGTGACGTAAGCCTTATAATCGGTCTTACACTTTTCTATAAACAAACCGGGGCGGTCGGGTAGCCTAGTGGTTAAAGCGATCGCTCGTCACGCCGAAGACCCGGGTTCGATTCCCGACATGGGTACAATGAGTGAAGCCCATTTCTGGTGTCCCCCGCCGTGATATTGCTGGAATATTGCAAAAAGCGGCGTAAAACAATACTCACTCACTCACTGAAGTTTGTGTTGATGTGACGTAAGCCTTATAATCGGTCTTACACTTTTCTATAAACAAACCGGGGCGGTCGGGTAGCCTAGTGGTTAAAGCGATCGCTCGTCACGCCGAAGACCCGGGTTCGATTCCCGACATGGGTACAATGTGTGAAGCCCATTTCTGGTGTCCCCCGCCGTGATATTGCTGGAATATTGCAAAAAGCGGCGTAAAACAATACTCACTCACTCACTGAAGTTTGTGTTGATGTGACGTAAGCCTTATAATCGGTCTTACACTTTTCTATAAACAAACCGGGGCGGTCGGGTAGCCTAGTGGTTAAAGCGATCGCTCGTCACGCCGAAGACCCGGGTTCGATTCCCGACATGGGTACAATGAGTGAAGCCCATTTCTGGTGTCCCCCGCCGTGATATTGCTGGAATATTGCAAAAAGCGGCGTAAAACAATACTCACTCACTCACTGAAGTTTGTGTTGATGTGACGTAAGCCTTATAATCGGTCTTACACTTTTCTATAAACAAACCGGGGCGGTCGGGTAGCCTAGTGGTTAAAGCGATCGCCCGTCACGCCGAAGACCCGGGTTCGATTCCCGACATGGGTACAATGTATGAAGCCCATTTCTGGTGTCCCCCGCCGTGATATTACTGGAATATTGCAAAAATCGGCGTAAAACAATACTCACTCACTCACTGAAGTTTGTGTTGATGTGATGTAAGCCTTATAATCGGTCTTACACTTTTCTATAAACAAACCGGGGCGGTCGGGTAGCCTAGTGGTAAAAGCGATCGCTCATCACGCCGAAGACCCGGGTTCGATTCCTGACATTGGTACAATGTGTGAAGCCCATTGCTGGTGTCCCCCGCCGTGATATTGCTGGAATATTGCTAAAAGCGGCGTTAAACCATACTCACTCACTCACTCTATAAACAAATCGGGGCGGTCGGGTTGCCTAGTGGTTAAAGCGATCGCTCGTCACGCCGAAGACCCGGGTTCGATTCCCGACATGGGTACAATGAGTGAAGCCCATTTCTGGTGTCCCCCGCCGTGATATTGCTGGAATATTGCAAAAAGCGGCGTAAAACAATACTCACTCACTCACTGAAGTTTGTGTTGATTTGACGTAAGCCTTATAATCGGTCTTACACTTTTCTATAAACAAACCGGGGCGGTCGGGTAGCCTAGTGGTTAAAGCGATCGCTCGTCACGCCGAAGACCCGGGTTCGATTCCCGACATGGGTACAATGTGTGAAGCCCATTTCTGGTGTCCCCCGCCGTGATATTGCTGGAATATTGCAAAAATCGGCGTAAAACAATACTCACTCACTCACTCACTGAAGTTTGTGTTGATGTGACGTAAGCCTTATAATCGGTCTTACACTTTTCTATAAACAAACCGGGGCGGTCGGGTAGCCTAGTGGTTAAAGCGATCGCTCGTCACGCCGAAGACCCGGGTTCGATTCCCGACATGGGTACAATGAGTGAAGCCCATTTCTGGTGTCCCCCGCCGTGATATTGCTGGAATATTGCAAAAAGCGGCGTAAAACAATACTCACTCACTCACTGAAGTTTGTGTTGATGTGATGTAAGCCTTATAATCGGTCTTACACTTTTCTATAAACAAACCGGGGCGGTCGGGTAGCCTAGTGGTTAAAGCGATCGCCCGTCACGCCGAAGACCCGGGTTCGATTCCCGACATGGGTACAATGTGTGAAGCCCATTTCTGGTGTCCCCCGCCGTGATATTGCTGGAATATTGCAAAAAGCGGCGTAAAACAATACTCACTCACTCACTGAAGTTTGTGTTGATGTGATGTAAGCCTTATAATCGGTCTTACACTTTTCTATAAACAAACCGGGGCGGTCGGGTAGCCTAGTGGTAAAAGCGATCGCTCATCACGCCGAAGACCCGGGTTCGATTCCTGACATTGGTACAATGTGTGAAGCCCATTGCTGGTGTCCCCCGCCGTGATATTGCTGGAATATTGCTAAAAGCGGCGTTAAACCATACTCACTCACTCACTCTATAAACAAATCGGGGCGGTCGGGTTGCCTAGTGGTTAAAGCGATCGCTCGTCACGCCGAAGACCCGGGTTCGATTCCCGACATGGGTACAATGAGTGAAGCCCATTTCTGGTGTCCCCCGCCGTGATATTGCTGGAATATTGCAAAAAGCGGCGTAAAACAATACTCACTCACTCACTGAAGTTTGTGTTGATTTGACGTAAGCCTTATAATCGGTCTTACACTTTTCTATAAACAAACCGGGGCGGTCGGGTAGCCTAGTGGTAAAAGCGATCGCTCGTCACGCCGAAGACCCGGGTTCGATTCCCGACATGGGTACAATGTGTGAAGCCCATTTCTGGTGTCCCCCGCCGTGATATTGCTGGAATATTGCAAAAATCGGCGTAAAACAATACTCACTCACTCACTGAAGTTTGTGTTGATGTGACGTAAGCCTTATAATCGGTCTTACACTTTTCTATAAACAAACCGGGGCGGTCGGGTAGCCTAGTGGTTAAAGCGATCGCTCGTCACGCCGAAGACCCGGGTTCGATTCCCGACATGGGTACAATGAGTGAAGCCCATTTCTGGTGTCCCCCGCCGTGATATTGCTGGAATATTGCAAAAAGCGGCGTAAAACAATACTCACTCACTCACTGAAGTTTGTGTTGATGTGACGTAAGCCTTATAATCGGTCTTACACTTTTCTATAAACAAACCGGGGCGGTCGGGTAGCCTAGTGGTTAAAGCGATCGCTCGTCACGCCGAAGACCCGGGTTCGATTCCCGACATGGGTACAATGTGTGAAGCCCATTTCTGGTGTCCCCCGCCGTGATATTGCTGGAATATTGCAAAAAGCGGCGTAAAACAATACTCACTCACTCACTGAAGTTTGTGTTGATGTGACGTAAGCCTTATAATCGGTCTTACACTTTTCTATAAACAAACCGGGGCGGTCGGGTAGCCTAGTGGTTAAAGCGATCGCTCGTCACGCCGAAGACCCGGGTTCGATTCCCGACATGGGTACAATGAGTGAAGCCCATTTCTGGTGTCCCCCGCCGTGATATTGCTGGAATATTGCAAAAAGCGGCGTAAAACAATACTCACTCACTCACTGAAGTTTGTGTTGATGTGACGTAAGCCTTATAATCGGTCTTACACTTTTCTATAAACAAACCGGGGCGGTCGGGTAGCCTAGTGGTTAAAGCGATCGCTCGTCACGCCGAAGACCCGGGTTCGATTCCCGACATGGGTACAATGTGTGAAGCCCATTTCTGGTGTCCCCCGCCGTGATATTGCTGGAATATTGCAAAAAGCGGCGTAAAACAATACTCACTCACTCACTGAAGTTTGTGTTGATGTGATGTAAGCCTTATAATCGGTCTTACACTTTTCTATAAACAAACCGGAGCGGTCGGGTAGCCTAGTGGTTAAAGCGATCGCTCGTCACGCCGAAGACCCGGGTTCGATTCCCGACATGGGTACAATGTGTGAAGCCCATTTCTGGTGTCCCCCGCCGTGATATTGCTGGAATATTGCAAAAAGCGGCGTAAAACAATACTCACTCACTCACTGAAGTTTGTGTTGATGTGACGTAAGCCTTATAATCGGTCTTACACTTTTCTATAAACAAACCGGGGCGGTCGGGTAGCATAGCTGTTAAAGCGATCGCTCGTCACGCCGAAGACCCGGGTTCGATTCCCGACATGGGTACAATGAGTGAAGCCCATTTCTGGTGTCCCCCGCCGTGATATTGCTGGAATATTGCAAAAAGCGGCGTAAAACAATACTCACTCACTCACTGAAGTTTGTGTTGATGTGACGTAAGCCTTATAATCGGTCTTACACTTTTCTATAAACAAACCGGGGCGGTCGGGTAGCCTAGTGGTTAAAGCGATCGCCTGTCACGCCGAAGACCCGGGTTCGATTCCCGACATGGGTACAATGTGTGAAGCCCATTTCTGGTGTCCCCCGCCGTGATATTGCTGGAATATTGCAAAAATCGGCGTAAAACAATACTCACTCACTCACTGAAGTTTGTGTTGATGTGACGTAAGCCTTATAATCGGTCTTACACTTTTTTATAAACAAACCGGGGCGGTCGGGTAGCCTAGTGGTTAAAGCGATCGCCCGTCACGCCGAAGACCCGGGTTCGATTCCCGACATGGGTACAATGTGTGAAGCCCATTTCTGGTGTCCCCCGCCGTGATATTGCTGGCAAAGCGGCGTAAAACAATACTCACTCACTCACTGAAGTTTGTGTTGATGTGATGTAAGCCTTATAATCGGTCTTACACTTTTCTATAAAGAAACCGGGGCGGTCGGGTAGCCTAGTGGTTAAAGCGATCGCTCGTCACGCCGAAGACCCGGGGTCGATTCCCGACATGGGTACAATGTGTGAAGCCCATTTCTGGTGTCCCCCTCCGTGATATTGCTGGAATATTGCAAAAATCGGCGTAAAACAATACTCACTCACTCACTGAAGTTTGTGTTAATGTGACGTAAGCCTTATAATCGGTCTTATACTTTTCTATAAACAAACCGGGGCGGTCGGGTAGCCTAGTGGTTAAAGCGATCGCTCGTCACGCCGAAGACCCGGGTTCGATTCCCGACATGGGTACAATGTGTGAAGCCCATTTCTGGTGTCCGCCGCCGTGATATTGCTGGAATATTGCTAAAAGCGGCGTAAAACCATACTCACTGACACACTCACTATAAACAAACCATAAACATGAGACCGATCCATAACATATTTACCCATAACAAGCCAGCAAAGCCACACGCGAGTATTTGAAACAATAAGGCTGGTCAGCGTTTCACAAGGATTGAGAATTGATATAACGGTTCCAGACACCTTAAAGGAGGATTAGACTCTTGGGTCTGTTGGTCAATAGTCTACCTTAGGCGTTTTAATAATTGGCTGTAAGATTAATGTACATGATAAACTTTGAGAAAACAGACAGACAAAGTAGTGTCTGAACGCAGTGTTTCACACTTGCTGGGGCTGCCAACTTGACCGAGTCAGGTGCACCTTTAAGAATGATTAAACATAATGTGTATACAAACAGTTGAGCAAGCTTCATATACTACCCTATCGGTATGAACAGAGAGACCCTGTCCCCATGCAGTCGGCCCCTGTAGGGTTGATGCGCTATCCATAGCCATTTAGGTGGCGACCTGTTAAGACAAAAACAGATACAGGAAAATGTTCACATGCAGCATACACATATGAAACGATGCTTTCATTGAAAATATACTGTCGAGGGTCCGGTAATAAAAGAAGGAATGAACGTGTCTGTGTCAGTTGATATCGAAATGTCGTTTATCGTCTATCGTATCACAATAAGTTTTAATACCGTTTTGTTGTCTTGCAAGGGGAGAGCGTGAGTACGTCTTTTAGCAATGATACAAATGAAGGGGAGAGCCAAAATGGTTATTACACACTGTCCCCGTTTTGGAATTGCGTTTGGGTTTTTTTGTGAGTTATTGTGTGTCATTGTTTCAAACACATGTAATTGTTTTAACAAACAATATTACTGCGAAGATGATTGGTTGGTTGGTTTGTTGTCAAACGCCGCACTCAGCAATATTCCAGCTATATGACGGCGGTCTGTAAATAATCGAGTCTGGACCAGACAATCCAGTGATTGACATTATGAGCATCAATCCACGCATCAACCAAGTCAGCGAGCCTGACCACCCGATCCCGTTAGTCGACTTTTACGACAAGCATAGTCACCTTTTAAGGTAAGTATAGGTGGCCGAAGACCTATTCTACCCCGGAATCTTCACGGGTCCTGCAAAGATGAAAAGGTTACCGTGATACAAATAACAGCTCCGACATATAAGGCAATCCGTCATGTTTATTTAATATTTTAAGGGGCGGTCGGGTAGCCCAGTGGTTAAAGCGTTCGCTCGCCACGCTGAAGACCCGGGTTCGATTCCCGACATGGGTACAATGTGTGAAGCCCATTTCTGGTGTCCCCCGTCGTGATATTGCTGGAATATTAATAAAAGCGAAGCAAAACCATACTCACTCACTCATTATTTAAAATTTTAAAGAACATTTTTCACGACAGATTATTTATTTATTCAGAAACAACTCATTGTATATCAGAATGTAAATTCCCAGCTTATGATAAGATAATAGCAAAATACAAAGTTTTTATAATTACGGGACAGAGATGCTCATTATAAATGAAAACGTGGCAGAGTGGGAAGTGGCCTTCAGTATATACAGTTTGGAGTTAAGAAGGGGGAGTTACGTGCATATTGGTGAAAACTAATAGAAAGGTGAAGTGAGGTGAAATGGGGTTTAACGTCGCGTCGAAGATTATTGCACTTATATAGCGACGTGCATGTATGTGTGTGTGTTTGTGTGGCTGCTTGAACTAGTCCGGACTGATGCTTATTTATAGTGCTAGCTCACTGAGATACCATGCTGCAGTTTAACATGAATACCCCACTCAGACACAGTATACTGACTCCGAGCCGACCAGTCCTTGTTTTAGCCCCTTAATGCCGAGTGCCACACAGGGTAACAACAAGTACCATCTTTTAACGTCTTTTGGTATAACGCTGCCGGGGATCGAACCCCGGACCTTCCGCTCTCCGGGCGGACGCTCTACCACTAGACCACGGAGGCGGTCTCTAATAGAAAGGACATAACTATGCGGTTGGAGAAGTACGTAAAATGCGGAAGTCATTTGCAGTTCGTCACCGGATAGCCCTACTTGTCCTCCTCGCACGAGACTTGCCATTTTATCATCAGTCCTTTCCATATATCCTTTGGAGATCAATTACGTTTTCGAGATGATTATTTTCGACGGTTTTGGAATTTGGTAAAGCAGCACTGTTATTTTTATTTTTATTATAATTATTATCAGTAGTGATAATAGTATAAGTTGTAATAATGGTAGTAGTGACTGAAGTAGCAGTAATAAGTTTGTTGCTTAACGCCGCACTCAACAATGCCCAGGTGGCGGCTTGTAAAAAATACTGTTAATTAAGTCTGGACCAGATAATCCGTTGATTGGTATTTTGAGAAACGTTCTTCGCCGTCGGTGTACGACGACTTGAAATCTCTCAAGACAACAAACAAACTTGCTATACCTCTATTACGAATTTCATTGAGTAATCCATATCACGTGACTTCGTTTGCTATGAACAATATGGTGTTTGCGAGTGGCAATACACGCATTGCCGATCTTGCTGAAGAAAGTCTCTTGCAAACGTTTGATAACAGGAAGTACAGTAGCACTTTATGACGTAAATTTCGGTATAAGATAACAATTGATCACTCATTGCGAGGATATTATGTGAAAACATGGGTAACTGTTTGTGTATCAGTAATTTATATACATATATCACTTACCGGTCTATTACTGACGTAAACTTAAGCACTGGCGCTGTCGGCTTTCGAACTGACGTCATCACTTGTACTGGAACTGACGTCATCGTTTGCACCGTTTGTTCTCGCTGTGTCCCCATGGTACAAAGAAGAGGTGCTGGTGAAGCCATGGTTAACTCTTCCAATATTCCCATTCATCTCGGTTGTCTCATCCATCTGTATCGGGGTAGGTCTGGCAGCCTCTGAAGAGCGTTGATGGCCACTGTCATCAAGCGTGTGGTTGATGTTTTTTGCAGTCTGGTATTTCCTCTGTGGCAATTTGCCTCGATCGCCAGAGGGCACAGATGAAGATCCCGATGCCTGGTGTTGACAGAAGATTTGGGAGGCAACTCGACGGTAGGATTTGAAGGCCAACAGAAACAGGGGTAGCTTGAAGACAAGGTACACATAGTTCAGGAAAATAAGGCTGTTTCCAATAATGAAGAGATGAATGCCACTGCTACTTTTAAAATTAATATTGAAGGAGTAAAAAACAAACAGAGGGATAAATGTTACTATGTAGGTGATATATACGACAAGGATGCCCTTTGCTTGACGGACATAAAGCTTGGTAGCGGAGGCGGATGTGATGGAAACGTTCTCTTTCTTGCGCATGTGGAGGCATATGCGTGTGAAGGCGATGATGACAATTGCAAGTGGTAGAATGGTGTGAAAGAACACAGTAAGACATAGAAACCAGGCATTCTGTTTACTAACGTTCATCAATAGGACATTATCACGTTCCAGAGCGAGGACGTTTTCTGCTGAAAATGCTAAACCGCTACACCCAATGTTTACGAGCCAAGATACTACCACGAAGATGGTGATTAGTTTGGGTTTGTAGTGGACTTTGTAGAGAATAGGATTGCAGATGGCTATGTGGAGGGCGAAGAGTGTCATGGCCAATGACAGCGTAGACTCACTAGTAAAGATGAAACAGACAATCTGTTGCACAAGCATGGCCGTCTGTAGGATATTTCTGTGAGGGTGGGTGTTAATGATCACATACAGAACAAGCCAGGATAGTCCTATTCCTGCGTCAGCAACAGCCTGGTTCATGAGGAGGCGTCCTGAAGCTTCCATCTTTGTCGTGGCCTTGCAGATCAGCAATATCAAGACAGCGTTACCAAATACATTCAGAACATCAAAGCACGCAAAAGTGGTTTCTATTATATGCTGTAAGCTATCAAACAAATGAATAGTTTGGTCAGCATCATGACCGTCGCATCCAGATGACATATTAGTAGCATTGCATTCTGCGGCTATTTCCTGAGGAGGTAAAATGTCAGCGATGTTAAAACTCACGGCTGATGTGTTGTCCATGTTGGTGTGCTGTCTGGCCTTCAGTGAAGTGGCGTCAACATACGCCTGTACCTGGTAGCAGGTGCAGCTGACCAATGGCAGACCCTGCCTTGTGTAATCAATAACTGACCAACGACGGACTTTAGTTATGCTACCACGTGCGTTTCCGAAGTTAGTTACCCTGATAGATTAAAACATTTCTTAGAACCATAATATAACCGATTTTAGTCATACCTCTGCTAAAGTGGACAGAGCGTCAGCCCGGAGAGCGGAAGGTCGGCGGTTCGATCGCCGTCCGCGTCATACCAAAGACCTTTATGGTATGGTACTCGTTGTTACCCTGCCTGGCGTTCGGCATGAGATGGATAAAACAAGGGCTTGTCAGTATACAGTGTCTGAGCGGGGTATTCATGTTAAACTGCGGCATTGCATCTCAGTGGGCTAGCACTATAAAACCGGCATTAGTCCGGACTAGTACAAGCAGCCACACAAACACACACACGTACATGCACGTCGCTATATAAGTGCATTAATCCCGTACGGGATGATAATATTAACGTCTAGATAAATTAACCACAAAAAAAACGTCCATGTATACATACCACGCACTGTTATATAGAACCGAATTGGTAAATAATAGTTAAAATTGTGTGCATATGTACCAAAGGCCTGTGGCCTCTTAAGTGTCTGGATTAAGATTGATCAACTGATCTACTCTTATGTTTTAAACACTCATTCGATTGCTCTCCTTTGCCCTGAGGTTGCCCGTGTCTGGGCACCGTGTGTTTGCATAGCAAGCCCTTTATTAGGATGATTGATCATAACGCATCGGGACATATGGTTTCAACATACATGTATTTATTTACAGAATCTTATGATGCGAAATTGATGATTTTAGGAACAGTTTTGTTCAAAGTTCATATCTTTTTATTCAGTGTTTAATTAAAAGCGACAAAACCTTTTCCATATTCAGAAGAAATATCGGCCAAAAGCAGAGTCGACTGAACGATTACATCACGAGCATATGTTTATGAATCACTGTTATATAGTGATGATACCAGGTGTTCGCGAAAAGGTAAGCGTACCCCGCCCCAGCGGTGTCACCCGTCACAGTGTCAAGTGTTCACCTGAAAAACAGCAACACGGGAATATATGGTATGTCCATTTAACGTACATACATGCATATTGTACACTATCAGATTAGCTTTCTGTTACTTTCTAATGGGTTTCTAAATTAGTTTGAGATGTTAGGATATTCATTTAAAGCTCCCTCCGGTGTAGTAGTACGTGGTTTTGTTTTCATCATTGACTCGGTATAGACAGCGTCTAATAGTGTACCATACGGGTATGTAAGAGCAGGGTATTCAATATTTTTGTAATTGCAAAGGTGAAAAGGAAAACTTTTGATGGACCATAAATATTTATTAACAGGTTCGAGGAAACGGCAGTTATCAAACCTTCAAGACATGCTCTAACTTGTCGCCATTGAGAGTGAGTGAGTTAGTGAGTGAGTGAGTTTGGTTTAACGCCGCTTTTAACAATATTCCAGTTATATCGCGGCGTGTCAGCTTAATGTGGGAGGAAAGCCCGAAGTGATGCAGGTCTCAGACGTTTACCACTTCGGTGAAACCCACGAGCATGGGTATGGTGCTGACAAACCTAGAAACATAATTGGGGCGAACCGGGATTCGAACCCACAATCATAGGTTTCTGGCGTGCCCAAGGGACGCAACTCTGCACAGCGAATCGCGGCGCCTTAGACGACTGGGCCACCCATGCCCTCGTCGCCATTGAGAAGACAAGTAGCGTGTCCCTATTAGGTGTATCATGGCTGGAGGCGGGAAGGCCCCGCCCATCATGATAAACACAACAGATAATGCTCTACGTTGTCACGTGAACCATCGCCCTCTGTGACTGCAGGTGGCAACGTGGTCAGGCTGAGACAGCCACGCCTCAAAACGACACGAAACGTGTCTGGCGAAAACCCACTGCTCCAAATTGACAGAAACACCATTAGAAAAGGCCACCATATGTTTTTAACAAATTTTACGGAACTCAAAATCTTTTCTACCTATCACCTTCCAGTATTAAATACAGAATATTGAAACATTTACTGTTAAATATACTTTCATGATAGACAATAGTCTCCGATTCTAACATATTGTTCCATACTGCTAAACGTAAGTGCAATTTTTTCTCCGATTCTAACATAATGTTTCATGATCACAAGGCTCAAGCCTTTAGGATGGACTCACTGTTGCCAATGTTTGTTGTCGCGCGATGCCGGGGCGAACCATTTGTCATCACTCGCCATTTTCCGTTACCATGGTTACCAGCAAGTGTAATCACCACCCCCACCCAAACCTCCCCCAGGTGGTGTTCATCCTCAGTTGCGGTACTATTTTCACTCAAGCAGAATTCACAGAGTCTTTCCTGGCGTGGAATATTATCATGTCTACCAGTTTCAATTGTCAGATTAAGTCGGAATTTTGCTGTTAGATATTTCTCGACATCAAACCATGATTTGAATCATTTATGTGTAGAACATGTACTGTTTGAATGAAAGAATGATTGACAGTCCTGAACGAGATCATCTTTAAGTCTTTGCTTGAAGAAAAGTGACTCTTTTATATCATCCCCTGATGTTACAAATGGCACATGTACAGTGACACTTATCAAAAATAATGTATTTCTAACAAAATCTACCTTTCATGTGTCTGAGGGTCCTGCTGACCACCCCAAACAATTGACTGCATTAACAAACAAACAAAGAATAGGGCCGATATTCCTAAACATAATAACATTGCAGAAAATTGTATTCCAGAAAGTGAATATTCCTTGGTGATACTACTGGTGCAAATGGTAATACAAATGAGTAAGTGAGTGAGTGAGTATGGTTTTACGCCGCTTTTAGCAATATTCCAGCAATATCACGGAAACATAAGATTTGTTATGGGAATAGCTATGACTGTAAGTGCAACGAAAGCGATGTACTGTTTATTAAAAAGAGCTAAAAATGTAAACCTACCACTCGATTGTCTCCGAACTACTTTTGATATTATGGCTGCTCCAATCCTTTTATATTGTTCAGATGTATGGGGTTTTGAAAAGTTAGAAGTAATAGAAAAAATACATTGAAAATTCTTGAAACTTGCAGCCTGATTAAGACATTCAACGCCAAATTATATGGTATATGGAGAATTTGACAGGCAACCAATATATATTAAACTGTTTAAACGTTTGATAACTTATAGGCACAAACTGACTTGCCAAAATGTTTTTGTACCGCTACATTATCTCAGAGCCAGCGGAATACAAAAATAATTTCCCATGGATTGTGTGTGTTGAAAAGATACAAAAAGATGTTGGACAAAGTGAAATATTTCATAAACCTTACACATGCTCTACAGATTTGCTAGTCTCAACGGTCGAACAGAGACTTAAGGATCAGTTTATATAAAGGTGGAGGGAAAGTATGAAGTCGAGTCCAAAGGTTATATACTATAAACACAATAAGCAAAGCCCAAATTTTGAAAATTATCTGTTACTCCCTAACAGATACTCGTACTTCAAATCATAACTTGCCCATCATTTAATCATCATTCGGCAGTATTATGATCCCCAGACTTCAGCACCGTAACATAATATTGGGACCACTCTACACTCATAGAGCCTGAACCTATGATTGTGAGAAAACAACATTGCTTTCATACTGGTATATACATAGTATTGCCTTTTTGCTTGTGATGCTAACCAGCTCTGTGCATTTACTCCATAAATTAGGCGTAAACATTAGACCAAGGTATCTGTAATGATTACCCGCCGTGATATTGCTGGAATATTGCTAAAAGCGGCGTAAAACCATACTCACTCACTCACTGTAATGATTAGCACATTTATCTTTTCACCTTTGAAGTACGATTGTTCATTATTTCTTAGTGGTCCACCATTTCTAAATACTACGGTTGTATTCTTATTTAAGTCTATATTCATGTCAGTTTCATCACAAAGGTTATCTAGTACATTTATTTTCTTTTTAACCAGAGCGAGGACGTTAGGTGTGTCCGTTGATACAAATATCCCTCTTCCAACATTCTCTTTCAACATAGATACAAGTTGATTTATGCAATATGATGTATAGTTCAGGACTTAAAATGCTTCCCTGACGGGTACCCATGTTGCAGCTGAAGTAGTTTGACATTCCTTCTCCTGTCCGAAAACAAGCAGACCATCTTGCATACATAAGTAAATGTGTTCAATATTTTCACTCTGAGAATAATATCATTTAGTTGATTCAGTAGAATATCATGATGGACGTAATCAAAGGCTTTACTAAAATCAATAAATAAACAATATAATCTGCAATTTCGTTTAGATAGATACTTTTGTGCAATAGCTTGTAGAGTAAAAAATTGATCCACAGTAGAATATCCTGGTCTGATTCCAGCCTGGGTTTCGTCAATCAAACTATTGTTGTCTCACCATATCTGTAGTCGTTAGTTGATGACTGTTGTAAACACTTAACATATGGCGTTTATTAAAGATATTCCTCTGTAGTTTCCTGTATAGTCTTTGTCTGCAGGCTTATAGAGGGGGCAG